GGGGGGGGATCTTTGTTCTGCCAACATCCCAGCTAACCCACACTTTCCCCAGTTCGCGTTAATGCACAGACTCACATAGACATACAAACTGACAGACACTGTGATTGTGTGTGCGTATGTAGTCACTGTTTTGTCTGGACATCGAACACTACACCTATCCATGTCGAATGAGGTGGTGTGACGAGTGAGGTGCACGTGAGTGAGGCCCATAGGGGATTGAGCAACGCGCAGGGGCTGGGGTCCCCTTCTTCATGGGTCTCAATGTTCCGCCATTTAGCTGTCCCTGTCGTTTTATGCAAGAGCAATTCTGAAATTATGCAAACTGAGCCCAAAAATGTGAAATTATGCGATTCTGTTAATTTTAACAAAGAATATTAAAGGAAGATAATCAGAAATTATGTTAAAAAATGATCGAATTTTGCCAAATTATGCGGGGTGCACATATAACCACGGGGACAGATTTAGCGGATTTCCACTACTGTCATTTCCTCCGCTAAACTGTCGAGGAGCAGTCACCGGCAAAGAGTTTCTGGGACGGCCACCTCCCTGTAATGTGCCACCACTTTCTGTTCATAATCATAATTGTAAATATTTGGTTAGTGACTTTTTTACTGGAAATTTACTTCCAAACCCTCGAATTGGTATGAAATAACCTTGCTTTGATAAGTTGATGGTTTTTATTTCAGCGTTCCAGAGTTAAACACTACAATAATAATAATAATGGGTGTCTCACAAAAATGGTCTTCTGTCGCCATCTCCCGGAAAGTTCCTCCTGAGTTGAGACCCAAGCCTCTAGGACTGGGAGCTGCGGGGAAAGGGGGTGGGGGGGGGAGTTGTGGATGGTGTGGGAAGACCGATGCCACACAGAGGTAGGGGAGCTAATACCCATCTGTCACTGCCAGGATTATAAATTGTCGTTCGTTCTGTGTCGACCATAACATTTTCTGTTTGTTTTTAGTACAACACTTGTATTAATTTTTTTTTTCGTCGCGAGGGAACTTTGGGGGTTGTTTTGACGTCTTTCTAGAACTTTATAAGAATTGGTTTTCAGCACGGCATGGGTGGTGGTGGTGGTTGGAGGATGCCACTGGTAGGTCTGTCCTACTCATTTTTTCTTTCCGTTCCGTTGTTTCTGTCCATCTTTCTCGCTTGTTCCCAGCACTAGATGACCCATTACTGTGTCGGTGTGCTTCTTTTGACTCCAACTGGTTTTTCTTTTTAGCTTATATTATTATGAGTAATGCGAATGCTTTGGGGGTGGGGTAGAGGAGGGGAACAGCAATTTTTTTTTTAGGGGGGTTGGGGGTCTTATCTGTTTATGCTTGCTTGCAATTTCCTTTTTTTTTTCTTTCCTACTAGCTTGTTGATTCATGGTAGTAGTTCCCCCTGGTCCTGAGCCGACTGACGCTGTATATATTTATAGATTTATAAATTGGTGTTACATAAACTGGATTTTCCTCCTCTGCCTCGGAAGCTTTACCACACGCGTACATTTCCGCCTGTTTCTTGGATGACTTGACGGCTTTTGACTTTTGCTTCATTGTGTAGCTCTGAGGGTTGGTGTGTTTGTGCGTGTGTGTGTGTGTGTGTGTGTCACTCTGTGTGTGTGTGTGTGTGTCATATTCACTGTGTGTGTGTGTGTTTATGTCATATTCACTCTGTGTGTGTGTTTGTGCGTGTGTGCGTGTGCGCGGAACCTCTTGCCCTTTGGTATCATCATCATCTTAATCCTTGTTCAAGTCTTCATCATATTCATTGTCATCATCATCATCATCATCATCATCATCATCATCATCATCATCATCATCATCATCATTGTTATAGTCTTCATAATCATCATCACCACTGACTGTACCTAGCTTTTGCTGTACTATCCCTAGTCTTTGTATTTCTTTGAGCGAGGAATTACCGAAAAACATGTATCATCTGGTTTTGTTTTCATTCTCCGACCTTTATTCACCTTATCATGTAGTGGTCGCATGTGTGGGCTCAGGACTCCTTAGTGTCGGCCCTTTGGCTCTGTCTTTCTCTCTCTCTCTCCTTTTTCTCTACTTTTTCCCTTACTCTTCTGCTATCTTTCTATCCCCTCTGTCTCTGCCTGTCTCTTCCCTTTGC